GCGGCGGCGGCGGCGGGGCCCGGTAAGCCCGGCGAGGGGGGGGCGGGGGAAGGGAACCGGGGAGTGGGGGGGGGGAGGCGCGGGGGGAGCGCCGTGCCCGAGCCCCCCCCGCCCCGGTTGGTTCCCCCTCCCCCCGTACCAAGATGGCCCCGGCCGCCGCCCGCAGCGCCGCCCCCCCACCGCCACCCCCCCCGGCCGCATCCTGCGGGGGCTGGGGACGGGGTTGGGGGCCGGTCCCTGCCCCCCCCCCTCGGTCCGTGACACCCCCCCCCCCACGGAATCCGTTGTCCCCCCCCCCGGCATCCGGTTCCTCCTCCCAGGACCCTTTCCCCCCCCACACAAAATCTGCACCCCCAATCCTTTCCTCCCCCCAAAATCTCCCCCCTCAACCCTTCCACAATCTCCCCCCTCCATCTGCCCCCCCCAATCTCCCCCTCTTATTTCCTCCCCAAATCACCCCCCCAATCCCCCATCTGCCCTCCCCAATCATTTCCCCCCCAAAAATTCTGCCCCTCCCCACTTGTGCCTCCCCCCCCCACCTTCGAGTCTGTGCTGCCCCCCCCAAGTGTCACCACCCGTGTCGTCCCCCCCCAGATCTCCGCAGCTGTCTCCTGGGCCAAGCGCGGAGCCACTGACGTCCCCGGAGACGAGGTGAGGAGGGGGCCGGGGACATGGGGGGGGGAGGGACACAAAGGGGTGGGGGGGGAATGGGAGGATGCAGGGGACATGATGGGACCAGGGGGGGCACAAGGGACACGAGGGGGCACAAGGGGATTTGCAACATGGAAGGGTTTGGGGTGGCACACAGGGGATTTTTGGATGGCACGAGGGGATTTGGGGTGATACAAGGGGATTTGGAGTGGCATGAACAGGTTTTCGGGTGGCACAAGGGGATTTTTGGGTGGCTTGAAGGGATTTTGGGTGGCTCGAGGGGATTTGGGGCAGCACAAAGGGAATTAAATCGGTACAAAGGGATTTGGGGTGGCACAAGAGGATTTGGGGCGAAATAAGGGCATTTGGGGTGACTGAAGAGGATCTGGGGTGCCACAAGGGAATTTGGGGTGGCACGAAGGGTCCTGGGGGGTGGCCACGAAGGGCCCCTAGCCCCCCAACAGCAGCTGTAACCCCCCAAGGGCCGGGCACCTGCATGCAGCCACTGGTGCTTGCAGGCAGCATGGGGTGGGGGGCATAAGGGATGGTTTGGGGTGGGGGTCCCATGCTCAGCCGAGGGCCTGGCACCCCCCCAGACCCCCCCCCAGCCACCCCCATGGAGCAGGACGAGCCCTGTGTGGTGGAGCTCCACGACTCGGACGAGGCGGGCATGGTGCGGAGGGTCTACATCGGTGAGGAGGGGAGCGCAGAGCCCCGGGGGGCTGGAAAAGAGCCCCGGGGGAGGGGTGGAAAGGAGCCCTGGGGGGTGGGGAGGTTCCCAGCCCCCTCCCCAGCCTCTTTGTGGCCTACAGCTGATGATGGCATCGTGAGCGACTGCGAGGACGAGGTGCTGCCACACGAGATTATCCAGACCGTCATCCCCCACAGCCCCCTGGCCTCCAAGGGCAAGAGGCGGGGGGCGGCGGGGGGCCGGGGGGCGGGCGCCGGCTCAGCAGCGGGGGGCTACGGCGAGGAGGAGCAGGAGGGCAGCGGGGGGCGGCTGCGGGGGGGCCGGCAGCGCCCTTTTATCTGCAACGAGTGCGGGAAGAGCTTCAGCCACTGGTCCAAGCTGCTGCGGCACCAGCGGACTCACACCGGGGAGCGGCCGAGCACGTGCGGGGAGTGCGGGAAGAGCTTCAGCCAGAACTCACACCTGGTGCAGCACCGCCGCACGCACACCGGGGAGAAGCCGTACCGCTGCGGGGACTGCGGGAAGAGCTTCAGCTGGAGCTCCAACCTGATCCAGCACCAGCGCATCCACACCGGGGAGAAGCCCTACACCTGCGGGCAGTGCGGGAAGAGCTTCACGCAGAGCAAGAACCTCATCAAGCACCAGCGCACCCACTCGGGTGCCCGGCCCCACCGCTGCGGGCAGTGCGGCCGCGGCTTCGCCCAGAGCACCAACCTGCTGAAGCACCAGCGGGTGCACGCTGCCCGCAGCCAGCCCCCAGCCTGCCCCGAGTGCGGGCAGAGCTGCCGCGATGGCGCCGAGCTGGAGCGGCACCGGGTGCAGGCGCACGGCCACGAGCCCTACATCTGCGTGGAGTGTGGGGAGAGCTTCGCCAAGAGCGCCACGCTCAACCGCCACAAGCGCGTGCACAAGCCGCTCTTCGTGCACTGAGCCAGGGCGCGGGCGGGCGGACAGAAGGATGGACGGCGCTGCCTGTGCTGCGGGGCTCGGGCCCTCGATGCCCTCGGCGAAGGGCTGGGGCCCACAGTTGTACATAGCGTGGGGCCGGGGGGAGGCAAGGGCAGAAGCCTCCAGCGGGGCAAGGGGCCAGGGCCCAGCTGAAGAATAAAGTACTTCTGTTGGGGGGAAGGCGGCTGAGTTTTGTTGGGCTGGGGGGGCTCTGCTGCATCCTCAGCCCTGTGTAGGAGAGGCGGAGGGGCTGGGGCAGTTCCTCGGTTGCTTTTGGGGGCGCTCCCCCCAGCCCCGTGGTTCAAGAAGTACCAGGCAGCACTGGGGGTGTCCCCACATCTCAATTTATTCCACGCGATTGGCAGCGAGGGGCTGCCTACAAAAAGGGGAAGGGTCAGGACAGTGGTGAGGCAAGGAGCACGGGGAGGGGACACTCTGCAGTCCACACCCCTGGCCCAGCAGCGATGCAGAGGAAGGCAGCCCCCCAAGGCTGAAGGCTACGCCTTGGTGGTGGCACCCTGTGCTGCCCCCAGGGCTGTGAGCTGCTGGATCTTCTGGTTCATCATCTCCACCACAGCTGGGGGAAGAGAAGGCAGTGGGGCGGTGAGGGGGCTGTCAGGGGAACCCCAGATGGTGAGCTGTGGCGGTGCTGGCCCTTACCCTGCTTCATGGCATGCTTCTCCTGCAGTGCCGGCTGGATCTTCTCCATCTGCTTGGTCAGGAAGTCGATCTTCCGCTTGAAAAAGTCTCGGGCATCATCTGCTGTCTGAGCGGATAAAGGGCAACAGCGGCCTCGAGGCGCTGAGATCCTGCACGCCGCAGCCGGAGGCAGCCCTGTTCATCACCTGCCACCTTTTGGCGGCTACTCCGGGGCCAAGCCCGCGCTCCATGCCCACCAGTGCAGCCCCCGGGGGCGTGCAAAGGTGCTGAGCACCCCGCTGGGAGCCCCGTTCCACTCCCAGGGCTCAGAATTCAGCCTGCTTGCGCCATGGGGAAGCAGCTGACCCAATGGCCGTTGGTGAAAACAGGCACAGGAGCAGTTCCCCAATTGCCAAACCGCCCCATGGCACTCCCAGCACCCGCCCCTCACCTTCTCCACGTAGTAGCCGGTTCCAACGTCGATCAGGACGCGCTCGACATCCGAGAGCTTCCCAGGGACGTACATCTGGTGGGGGCAGTCAGGGAAAGCAGGGTAACCAGGACGGTTACACACCTCCCGGAGCAAAGCCACGAGCCGGGGCGCCAGCAGCACTGCACCATGCTGCCAGCGCAGGTTTATGCTGGATCAACGGCATTGAAGGATGGAACCGACAGCCCTAAAGGCCCCCGGGGTGTTAACGGTGTGGGGTCAGCAAAGGATACAGAGCTGGTGAGCGGCACCAGCAGGTCCTTCCCTGTGGGAGAGCAAGCAGAGACGTGTGAGCAGCAGGGCAAGGGGAGCCCCCAAGGACAGAGGTCGCTGCCTCTGTGCCCCAAGTGATTTTGAGCGAGACACAGAGCCGGCAAGGCCAGGAGGGAGGAAATCGGCCCCTCGGGGTCCCACTCACCTTCGTTGCTTTTGTTGAGGACGTTGAGGCAGTCCTTGGCTTCCACATACTTGGTCTGCACCACCTTGAGCTGGGCAATGGAGGACGAGAGGAACTCCACCTCCTGGGGAGAGAGCGCGCGGCCCAGCCGCGGGAGGGACGGCTGGAGGGGACCCCATGGGCGGAGGGGACCCTCGTGGAGCTGTGTCCGCAGGGATCCTTCTGGAGCTGGTTCTTGGGAACGGCCCCAACCCAGCCACGGGACAGCAGGGGGCGAGCCCTGGTGCCCAAGAGGGATGGGCGCAGGGGGAGCAGGAGGGGAACGGCCTCGTCCCCACACACGGCCCCCACGCAGCCTGGCCCCACACCCCGCCCCCTCTCACCCCTTGTGCCCCCCGGATTCCCCCAGGCCCCCACAGCCCCCCCCGGGCCCCTTTTTGCCCCCCAAAGCCGCCCCCCCGGGCCCCACCTGGTCGAGCTGCCCCTTGAGCACCTCCAGTTGCGGCAGGCTCAGCTCCGCCACGTTCACGGCCTGCGCCATCTTGGGCCCGGCCGTGCCCCCCCCCCCCCCTCTCGCCCCGCAGCGCCCCCCGGCGGCCGGAGGACCCCCGGGACCCCAAATTTCGGGGACCCGCAAAGGCAGCAGGAGCCGGGGGGGTAGCGGGGGGGGCTGTGTCCGCTCCCAGAAAGAGGGGAAGCCCAGGGGGCAGCACCCCATCGCCCCCCCCCCCCCCCAAAGGCAAAAAGCTGCAGCCCCCCAGGAGGGGAGGCTCCTCTGAGCCATGGGGGGGGACACCAAGCAGCAGCCCCCCCCCCGCAGGTGTTTGAGGGAAGCCCGGGGTCCCCCCCACAAACTGAGCCACCTCGGGGGGCAGGGGACCCCCCAGGAAAGGAAGGGTCGGGTTGTGGGACGGGGGACAAAGGGGAGCAGCACTGGAGGAGGGCCAGGGGACGCCCCCCGCTGGAAGGAAGCTGGGGGGGGCTGGGGTCGGCCTCCTTCTAAGGCCCTGAGGGAAGGGCGAAGGCTCAGGGTGGAAGCGAGATTTCTGCTCAGGAGGGGGCACAGCATCACCGGCCCTGGGGGGGGTCAGGGATGGGATTGAGGATGGAGTGGCTTAGGTTAGGTTCGGCTCCAGACGCCCCTTGGTCCTTTCCCAGCTCGTGGTACAAGCGCACACCACCCATGTTGAAGGGGAAAAGATTTATTAGCTCAGGACATCAAACCAGGGGGAATTATTTAAAATCCAACTAATTAAAAGAACAGGAAGCAGGGGGGGCGCCGGCTCTCACTGCAGGCACACAGGCAGGCCATAGGCGACGGGGGCAGCCCCGATGAGGTACTTGAGGCGGGGGGCTTGGCGGGCCTGGGCCACATAGTGCAGGAGGGGGGCACCGGAGCCTGCCCGCAGCCAGCCCTGCAGCAGCGCCTGGGTATAGCGGTCAAGGTCACGATCAGTCACGTCCCACAGGTTGCCCAGGAAGAGGGGGCTGGGAAAAAAAAAAAAAAGGGGGGGGTTAGGGCCAGCAGGGCTGGGTGCCACACACACACACACACCCCCCGGTTGCGTCTCATGCACGAGGTCAGGCAGAGGGAAAGAATGGGGGGTGAGAGGAGGACAAGGAGAACACTCACTGCTTACCAGCACAGGGAAAAGGCAGGGGAGGGGGGCAATAAGAAGCAGGGAGGTGGGGATGGGGTAAAAAGAAGGCAAGAAGGGGATGGGGCGAAGACTCCGTCTGCCCCCCAAAAGCCACCCCCCTCTCTCCCCGCCTCACCAGCCGGCCAGGATGTATTTGAGGACGATGCCGGAGCCCTCGAGGCGGCCACGCACGGCCAGCGCAGCGCTGCTGCAGCCGAAGAGCAGGGCCACGGCGTTGCAGTCCAGCTGGGCCATGTCTGTCCCGTCCAGCAGGCGGGCACCCGCCCCATGCCCCAGGTAGCTGCCAGGAACAGGAGCAGGGTGAGCAGGGTGAGCGCGATAGCGCAGCCCCACACGGCCACGGGCACTCACATATAGAGGTTGTGCTCCAGCAGCGCTGCCTGCATCTGCTCCTGGCTGGGGATGGCTCCTGTGACCCCGCTCCAGCCCTGCTGGCTGCAGGAAAGGAGGGGAGAAGTCATAGAAAGGGGGGAGGGAGCATGGACCCCCCTCCTCCCCGCTCTGTGCGCCCCCGTTCCTCCTCACCTCTCGAACCAGCTGCGGAAGCACTCCTCGGTGCTCGGGAGGTTGTTCTGGGGGTTGAGGACGTAGAAGGTGCTGGTGGGGTTGACACCGCAGCGCAGCACAGAGCCTGCCTGCTGAGGGGGGAGGAGGAAGGGAAAAAAGAAATCAAAAATCACGAGTCAGCCCCAGCCCAGCACCAGCCTCTGGGGTCCCAAGCCCCGCGGCAGAGCCAGGGTGCCCCCCTTCCACTCACCCTCGGTGCCAGGTTGTAACTCAGGAGGAAGCGCAGGGACGGGAGGCGGGTGACAGGCACGGCACGCAGGCACGCCATGCTCTCCCAGGGCAGCTTCTGGAGGTGCTGTGCAGGGAAGAGGAGGAGGAAGAAAGGAAGGCGTGAGCGATAGAGTGACTGTCCGAGCTGAGGGAGAAGCAGCACGGGCAGGCTCTCACTTTATCCAGCACGAGGACGAGGGAGCCGCCAGGTGCCCGGACGTGGCTCCTCTGCTTCTCCAGGGCCTCTTGCAGGAGGAGCTGCGCTTTGTTGCAGGACTGCGAAGGGCACAGCCCTGCGGCCAGGGTTCGCACGTCGGCAGGGGTGAGGAGGGGAGCAGCGTTGAGCAGGACCTGCGGCAAGGGGCAGGCGTGAGCCAAGGCAGAGCTCCCCCTGTGCCCTGCCCCAGCCTGGGGAGCTCAGCACCTTGAGCAGCGCCGGGTCCGAGCCCCGCCAGCCGCAGGGACGGAGCTGGGCAAAGAGGTGGGCAGCTTCCTTGGCCAGCGCAGGCTCCTGGCTGGCGGGGAGCAGCACTCCCTTCCAGCAGCCCAGCACCTCCGTCTCCAGGGTGTCGATGAGGCTCTGCGAGAGAGGACAGAGTCACAGGGGGGTCCAAGCATTCCCCCCAGGCATGGGGGGTGCCTCTTGCCTACCTTCATCCTGCGGTCCAGCTCGGAGCGGCACAGCCACCACTCACGCTTGTTGGTGCAGCTGATGGTTTCTTTCTGCTCCTTCTGGATGGTGTCGAAGTCACTCAGCACTGAGCTCAGCGGGGCCTGGGGGAGGAAGGGAGCCGTGAGCCCAGCTCCAGGCTCATCCCAGCTGCTCCACGCTTCTAGCCCTTCCCTCACCTTGGTGAGCGCGGTCGGGATGTGGATGGTGATGGGAGCGCTGCCCCTCTCCAACCGTGTCAGCAGCAGCGTGTCGCCCATGGAGGAGGGCTGGATGCTCATGAGGGTCAGCACACAGATGGTCACTCCTGAAAAAGTCACCCCCAGACCTTCAGGAGAGGCCAAGGCATCAGGCAGCACCCTCCGGGGCTCCACTTGGATCAGCCCTCACCTGCAGGGATCTGCTGCAGCTGCTCTCTGAAGCTGTTGAGCTCCTGGGGCCCCAGACCCGTGGGGCTGAAGCTGAAGAGGTTCTGGAGCTCAGTGAGGTGATGGACGCGCGAGGGAGCATCCTGCAGGGAGAGCCCTTGGAGCTGCTCAGCCGCAGCTGCTGCCGACTTCTTCTTCAGTTTGCTGCAGAGGGAGAGGTGGGGGGGGGGGGGGGGAACGTTGCTCCAAACCAAGCCCTCCAGGGCTCTAGGTTTGGCTGAGCCCCTTTCCCTTCTCAGCAAAGCTCCAGCAACAGAGGCAGGGAGGCACAAAACCTACTGAAGCTTCTTGTGGATGACGCTGAGCAGCTGATGGCGCATGGTGATGGAGACAGACTCGGACAGCAGATAGGCAGTGGAGACGGGGTCCTGGTCGCCCGTGGCCAGAGCCAGGAGCTGGCAGAGCTGGCTGTAGAGCGTGCCAGGCGGGCAGTGGCTGATGCAGTTGAAGGCAGCTTTCAGGAACCCGCAGGCAGTGTCCAGCAAGGAAACATCTGGAAGGGGCAAAGAAACACCACCAGGATCAGGCAGCGAGCACATGGCCACCTTGCCTCTCCCTCTGCTGCTCTCCCCTCCACTTGGAGGGTTTTTGCCCTTTTAAGACACGCTTCAGCAGAGGTGGCCCCAGCGTTGCCATTTGCCTCTTCCCACCCCGCGGTTCCCCACTCCCGCTCACCTTCCACAGCCTGCAGGGCAGTGGTGAGGGCATCGAGGCACAGGGGGTTCCCGCTGCCCGGCCTCCCCCCCGCCGGGACGTGCTCGGTGGCCTTGCGCTGCAGCACCTCGTGCTTCCCATCCGCAACCTCCTGCCTGCGCCGGGGCGGCTGGATGCTGCCTGTGGGGAGAGACGGAGCCGTTTGGTCCCCAGGGCTGGGGACAGCAGTGAGGTGACAGCTTAGGGCACTTGAAGGCTCCCAGCAAGCCCTTGTTCCACAGTTCACCTGCGGCTCCCTCTTCTTCCTCGCAGGATTGCGAGAGCTCGAAGCTGTTGTCAAGCTCCTTGTTTTCCTTATCCTCCTCGATGGTTCTCAGAAGCCCCCGCTCCTCCTTGGCTCTCCTGGCTGGAGCCCTGCGGGTCACCTGCTGCCTCTTCTCCTCTGTGCCCGCAGCCCTGTGCCCCCTCCGGGGCTGGGCGCTGCTGCTGCTGCCCTCCGAGGAGCTCAGCTGGCAGCCCTCCAGCGTAGGGAGCAGAACTCTCCGGCAGTGGGATGCTGACTGCAGCGACCTGTGGCTGGGAGCCTGGCTTCTGCCGCTCGCCGGAGTCGCCCCCGGCTCGGGATCCTCAGCGTCGCTGTCATCGCTGAACAGCACCTGCAGCGGCGGGACGGGGATGTGGCAAGGCTGCAGCTGCCTCTTGGGGCCACTTCGCCTCCCTCCCCGCTTACCGGCAGGTGAGACCTCGACCTCTGGGCTTTGGGCGCCTTCAGGAGCTGGGTCTTGCTGAGCGGCGGCGAGGCATCTTTGAACACAGTGAAGGGAGCCCCCCGGCCCCGTGCCTTGGTGGGGGTACAGACCTGGTGCAGGCTGCTGGGCACGGCCGCCGGCAGGAGCACAACGGAGGACACCTCAGCGTCAGAGTTGCCCAAAGCACAGGTGTTGGTGGCCCCCGCCGCGGCCAGGGGCTTCGCTCTCTGGTTCTTCACTCTGGGTCTGGGCATGGGGGCTGCTGCGCCCCCCTGGGCACGGGTCCTGGTGGGGGGACAGGCTCTGGGGCGCAGGGTGCGAGGCGCCACCGCCGGCTCAGCCTTGGAGTTGCTGAGCGCGGGGGCCTGGGCGGCATCCACCCCAGCTGGGAACTTGGCTCTCGGGGTCTTCGTCGCTTTGGGTTTGGGCAGCGAGGACGCTGCCGGCGCCACCTCGCTGCTGCCCCTCCGGGGCTGAGCCTTCTTCTTGGTGGGACTTGGGGGGAGCGGCTGCTGAGCCCAAGCAGCGGGGAAGACGGAGGCCATGGAGCCACCGCACTTGGTGGCCAGGCGGCAAATGGTGACCGTGGCTTTGGCAAGCAGGAGGCTGGCCCTTGAGACCTCGAGGCTGGGCAGGTGGGGTCTGCAGGAGGCCACGAAGGACAAACCGGCCTCCAGCTGCTCCAGCAGCTCCCTCTCGGGCTGGGGGCTGGCCAGGCTGTGAAGGGCCAGCGTGGCGTAGCCGGTGGCCACCAGGTCATCCAGCAGCCCCAGCGTCGGAGCGTCTCTGCCGCTGCCCAGCTTGTCCTGCAGCAAGGTGGAGAAGCGAGCGGCCACAGGGCCGCAACGCCGCAGGGTGGCCAGGAGCAGGCCCAGCCCCTCGGCCGTACTGCCCGCTGCCAGCTCGCCCTGGGCACAGGCAAGCAGCCAGCGGAGGCAGAGGGCCGAGAGGGCCAGGTCAGAGCAGAGGCAGCAGGGGCAGGCAGCAGGGTGGGCAAGGAAGTCCAGCCTCCTCCTCGGCTTGGTTTCCAGCTGCGGAGAGGAGCAGAGCGCGGCCGCCTTCTCCTGCCTGCTCACCACGGCCACAAATTCCAGCGCGGGGCCCTTCAGGAATCCCTCGTCCTCCCCGGGGGGCTCAGAGCTGGACTCCTGCCGCCTCCTGCCCTCCAGTCTGCCCTTCCTGGGCAGGATCTTCTTGGGGCCTCGCTGCTCCTTGGCGGTGTCAAACTCTGCAGGCAGAGCAGTTGGAGAAGGAGTGCGGGCTGCTGGTGCCACCCACAGCTTCTACTGCCCAGGAGGGCCCTGGCTGCGGCTCCACCAGCACGGCCGGGGGCTCACCCTGCTCCCAGCCCCGCTCCCAGCCTGGAGCCAGGACTCACCAGTGCCGGACTCCAGCAGGAACAGCGCCCGCTGCAGGTCCACGTGGCTCAGCTCCAGGTCGTTCTGCTGCAGCTCCAGCTGCGCCTTCAGCACCAGGAAGGAAACGCACCTGGGAAGGGGGGAGGACAGCCCTCAGAGCCCCCCCGCTGCCACAGCTCCAGCGCCGTGCACCAGGGAATGAGCTCGTGGGTGAGCTGGCAAGGACACTGCCACCAGGGAGCCCCCCGGGGCCACCAGGTAGCCCCCTGGGGCCAGGACCAGTGCCACAGCCGCCCCCACCCCCAGCCATCCCACGGTCACTCACCACCGGCTCGCCTGCAGCCTCGTGGCCAGCCTGATACCCTCCAGGCAGAAGGCTTTGGCCCTGCACACCACCTCGGCGCGGCCGAGCAGGGCCACCAGGCACTCCATGCAGCTCAGCAACTCAACCAGCATCTGCCACTTCTGCAGCACGTTGTCCCCTGCGCCGCAGGACACGGGGCTGGTGACCTGCACTGCTCCCCCCTAGGGGGGGATGCACCCATGTCACCGGTGCCTCACCACAATCCACGAACTGTGCCTCTGCAGCCGGCTTCTGGGAGCCCAGCACGTCGCTGCCCACCAGGAGGAGGAGGATGCTGCGGAAGAGCTTGTAGGCTTCATCCAGAGCCGCCTCAGGGGTCTTCGGCCCTGCACCAGGATGGCCGTGGGTGACGGGGCTGTCCCCCCAGCACCCACCCCCAGCCCCCAATCAAATGGGGCTGTTTCAGGGGACAGCCACGCTTATGCAGGGCTCCAGTGGCTCACCCTGCGTGGAGATGCGCTGCCTGAGCTCTGGCGAGAGGCGGCTGGGTGGCAGGCTGAGGTAGAGAGCAGTGAGTTGCAAGACTTGTGCTCGGAGCATGTACCACACCTTGGCCGCCTTCTGCAGAGCCGGGTTCTGGAGCACCTCTAGCAGGAGGGCAAGGCCCTCCTCGACCTGCAGGAGGCAGCAGAGAAGGGAAAAGAGGCACCGGTCACCGCGTGGAGCATCTTTGGGGCTAACGTGGGCACAGGCCACCAGCAAAATCGCAGACAGAGCTGCCGAGGTCTCCTCTTGCCCCCTAACACCACACACGAGGCAGAAAAGGGTTTCTGGGGAGACTCACCCGGTTGCTGGCGCAGCACATCTGGCTGCGGAGCACCAGGCAGGTTTGCTGCAGCAGCAGGTAGGAATCGCTGCTGCTGTCGGCGTCCTGCAAGCAGGACTCTGTCTCCGCCAGGAAGAGCTGGAAGCCAAACAAGCCGGCGTGAGGGCTGGGGCTGTGGGGAGCAGCCGAGCTGCCCTCCCTCCCCGCTGCTCCCCTGCGGGCCTTGCCTCGGCGTAGCTGTGGCACTCGAGCTGGAGGAGCAGTTTGGTGACCTGGCAGAGGGCGCCGGCCATGCCCAGCCTGTCCCCAAGCGCGCGGCACAGGGCTCGGACCAGCAGGTAGCTCTCTATGGCTTGCAAAGGCTGGGGGGGAGAAAAACCCACGGGTGCGTCGAGGGACAATGCTGGGGGGAGGCCGCTGCCCCCCTGGGCAGCCCCAGCAATGCTACCTTGGCCATCAGCCTATAGAGAGCCGCCATGATGTGCAGGGAGGCCACGGTCTGCTCAGGGCTGCGCACGACTGGGACGCCCTCGGAGGCCAGGAGCTGCTTCCACAGGGCCAAGGCTTCGTCCAGGCTCTCGGAGCGGGCTGAGGGCACGCCACGGGGCTCAGCAGCGGCACCAGGACACGGGCAGGCATCTCCCAGCCGGCCCTTCCCTCCCCACACCTCCCCTGAGTGGTGCGTAGCTGCCGACCAGGTCGACCCACAGAGGGGAACCCCGCTCCCACCCCAAAACTGGGTGCTCCGGAGGAGCCTTTTCTGCTGCACCAACAGCCTGAACCCGCCACGCTCACCCGACTCTGTCGCCAGGTTGAAGAAGATGCCTTCGTACAGGAACGTCTCCTGCGGCCCCGCCTCGTAGTCGAGGTCGTTTGGCTTGAAGTCGTCCAGGTTCTTCTGCCCCTGAGCCTTGGCTCTCTGCTCCCTCGCCATGCCCTGCGGCAGGGTAAAGGCGGCAGTGACGCTTGGGGGGCACTGCGGGCCCCCCGGGGACGCCCCCCAGCAGCTGCGGGGTCATGTCTCCCCACGCACCTCCTCCAGCTTGGACTCCAGCGTGCAGATGTAGAGCCAGAGCAGAGCCTGTGCCCGGTCATCAAGGAGCTGCTCCTGGTTCTGGGCACTCCTGGGCACCGCCTCCAACAGCCGCAAGGCTTTGTGCACCGAGTCCAGTGCAGAGCTGTCAGAGAGAGGGGTTAAAACACAGCCTTCCACCCCAAAATGCACCTGAAGAGGAGGAGCGGGCATCACCAGCACCCGAAACAGCCAGGACCCCAGACCCTTAAACCTTGCCGAGGGCCCTCAAGAGCCGCCCCCAGGGGGGCCCGCAGGGACGGAGGAGGGGCTCTCAGGCGTGGCAGCGCGCTCACCAGTCCGTCTGCCAGGTGGATTTGTGGTAGCACAGGAGCTGCGCCAGCTCCATCAAGCCGACGGCGCGCTCGTGCAGGCGGCCGCTCTCCTCCGAGCAGATCTCCAGCAGGTCGCAGAGGATGTTGTAGCGCTCCTGCCCCGTGTTGGCAGGGATGGTCTTGTACGCCTTCAGCTCCTCGAAGAGCATGGCCACCAAGGTCTCTGCATCCAGGCAGCGCCCCTCCAAGGCTTCCTTCAGGGTCCTGGGCGAGCGGGGGGGGGCTCTGAGTGAAGCCCGGCTCGGCAATAGGGCTTTGTGAGAGCCCCCTGAGGCACCCCCTTGTGTGGGGCAGCGCCAGGCTTCCCTCACCTCAGCCGCAGCTCCTCAGCTCCATGCTTCACAGCGTCGGTTTTCACTCGGACCCAGAGGAAGACGGGCTCGGCCAGCAGCTCCCCGAGGCGGCCCCGCAGCGCCACCAGCCACTGCACGGTGGAGGCCAGGGCGCTCTCCAGCCGGCCCAGCTTTCGGTAGCTCTCCACCTGCAGCCTGAAGCATCTGTGCAGCTGCGGGAAGAGCGCAGAGGAGCGGCTTCAGCGCCCAGGCTGCCTGCCGAGCCCCCCCCGGGGGGAAGCCAGCCACTCCCCAGCTGCTCCTTCACTCCCCCGGCACCGGGCCACAGCTCAGAGCCTTCGGCCCCCTTTGGGCCGAGAACGGCAGGACTCCGCTCACCCTTTCGTGGGGGATCTCGGGGTATTTGTAACAGTCTGTCGTCTCCAGCATCCGGCAGAAGAGCTCGGAGATGGAGCTGGCCTCCTCGTGAAGGTTCTGGTTGTAGAAGATGTAGGCCAGCTTAAATGTGCACAATGCTGTCGCAGGGAGGAGAGAACCGTTAAAGATGTGCTGCAAATTCCAAGTGCCCCCCATCTTCCTCACCCCAGCCAGGCGCCGCAGGTGGCCGAGGAACCCTCTCCCCCATCGGTGCCGCCCAAAACACCTCTGAGGGGCCGGCAGCGAGCTGCGCAAGGGGACACTGACCGGTGGCATCGAGGTGCTTGGCTTGCTTGGTGTCAGGGAGCCCCTCCAGCGCCTCCAGCATCCGGGCCACAATGCCCCGGCAGCCCGATGTCAGCCGCTCCAGCTCCGACCACCCGGCCGCCTGCAGGGGACACGCTGGCTGTCAGGGACTGCGGAAATGCCCCTGGGGACCCCCCAGGGACCATCCCTGCTGCTACCGGTACCTGGGAGCACTGGAAGGTGTCGCACGCCATGTTGGTGAAGAGCTGGAGGCTCTGGAAGAGCAGCTGCTTCAGCGCTAGCCTCTGCTTCGTGCCGTCGGGGGGAACCTGCAGAGGGCAGGAGGTGACCACGCAGCCCCTGGCAATGTTACTGCCCCCCCCCCCCACTCCAATTAGCGGGGGGACCCTCATTAAGCGCTAGCCCTGCTCCCAAAGCCTCACCCTCTGCAGCAGCAGGCCGAGGACATGGCAGTGCCCCTCCACGAAGGCGCAGAGGCCGAGCACGTCCTCGCGGCTCAAGGGCTGCCGCGGGCTCCTCTTGCTGTGCTCGCCCAGGGGCGCCGCCACCAGCTGGCAGCCCTCGGCCAGCAGCCGCAGGAGACGCTCCGAGGCCTCGGCCGCGCCGCCCAGCGCCGCCGCCGCCTGCGAGAGATGGGGCTCCGCCGGCCTCAAGCCCTCAGCCAGCACCCGGCTCAGCCTCACCGCGGCCTCCAGGAGGTTCAGGGGCTCGCCCAGCGGCACCCTAGAGCCGTGCAAGAAGCGGCGGGCGTCCTCCGCCGCCGCCTCCGCCTCGCTGTAGCAGCCAGCCCTGCAGAGCTGCCGGCACTGCTCCAGCGCCAGCTCGAAGCAGCAGAAGGCCTGCGGCAGGCCGGGGGGTCGCGGCGCGTCCTGGCGCAGGGTGAGGAGGCAGGCCGCGAAGCACCGGCTCCGTGAGGCCGAGACAGGCACACGGGGGGCTTCGGAGAGGATGGCGGCGGATGCCTGGCGCGCGGTCCGCGAGGTGAAGAAGGGCGGCTCCAGCGGCAGCACGGCGGCCTCCTCGTTCTCCAGCAGCAGGAGGAAGTGCAGGGCCTGCAGGCGGCCCCCCAGGCCATCTGCCTGCTTCCACAGCACGAGGAAGGCGTACTGGGCGATGGACGTGAAGTCTTTGCAGGGGGGGCCGACGGGCCGGAGGGTGCGCAGGCGGACGAGGAGGAGCTGGGCTGCTCGCAAGCAAGCGGTGCCGCAGCCCCCCGCGGCCGCGTTGCGCAGGAGGTGGTAGAGGATCTTCTCCAGGTAGAAGGGGGACTGACAGGGCAGGTTCCGAGGCCACGTAGCCCCTGAAGGCCACCTCGGCCAGCCCCAGCAAGCTGGCGGCGTGGTCGAGGCGGCCCCCCGGCTCGCTCCCCGGCTTCCCCCTCGGCTCCCCCCCCAGCTCGCCCAGGCGCTGCACGCAGGCTCGCAAGGATTTGGTCGCACACCAAGTTCTGTGAGGTGGCCGGCGGCCTCCGGGGACAGGAAAGACTCTTCTGGAGTCGGGGGGAGAGAGGGAAAGAGAGTTTTGGCCCCCCAGCAGGGGATCCCAGCCCTCGTGCAGCACCGGGTGCCCCCCCCGCAGCTCACCGACAGCTCCGCCAGCAGCGCCTCTGTGCCCTCCCTACTGGCCGTATGCGCCACAAAATCAGTGCCCTCGAGGTGCTTCATGTCAGCCCTGGGGGGTGGCGGGGGGGGGTGAGGGGGTGCTGGTGCTCACAGCCCCACACCACCCCAGTCTCCAAAGAGGCCTACAGAGCGCCCCCCCACCCCTCACTCCCACCCCCAGGCCCTGCAGGACCCCCTGAGCCCCCCCAGCCCCCCGAGTTCCTCAGCCCCCTGAGTCCCTCAGCCCCCCTCCAGCCCCTCGACCCCCCCAAGTAAGTCCCTGCAGTACCCCCCGCCCCCCTCTGAGTCCCTGGGCCCCCCTGAGTCCCTGCAGCCCCCCAGCCACCCCCCGGCCCCTCGCCCCCCCCGCTCCTCAATCCCCCGAGTCCCTGCAGCCCCCCCCCCCCCCCCCCGCTCCTCAACCCCCCCTGCTTGCGAGCAGCCCCTCCGGCCCCTCGCCCCCCCCGAGTCCCTGCAGTGCCCCCCGGCCCCCCTCGAGTCCCTGTAGCCTCCCCCAGCCCCCCTCTGGCCCCTCGGACCCCTCCGAGTCCCTGCAGACCCCCCAGAGTCCCTCGGCCCCCCAGCCCCTCTGCTCCCTCCCAGCTCCTGCAGGGACCCCCCCGGACCCCCAGCCCCCCCGCCGAGTCCCTGGGCCCCGCCGACGCCCTGCAGGGCCCCCCCGAGTCCCTGCAGCCCCCCGCCCCCCCCCCCGAGTCCCTGCAGCCTCCCCCGAGTCCCCACCCCGCCCTTATTTTAGCCCGCTCCCCCCCGCGCCCACTCGCACATCGCTATCGCTTCTCGCAGGCAGAGCCGCGGTCCCGCCGCGCGCCCCGTCCAAATCCCCGCGCCGCGGCCAGTGAGGGCGGGGCGCCCCGCGCGGGGCACGCCGGGACTTGTAGTCCCGTAACGGCTCCGCGGATGCGCGCGGCGGGGGGCGGGGGGGGACCCCGTGTAAGGGGGAGTCGTGTATGGACCCCACGGAACCGGGGAAGGCCTGGAAGGGCCCTGTGTAAGCGGGGGGGGCGGCGTGTAGGGACCCTGTGTAACTGGGGGGGCAAACTGGGACCCCATGCAAAGGGGGGGCAGGTGAGGACCCCTGCAATGGGGGGAGGAGTTTGAGGGGTTGGGGGGGTGCCTAAGGGCCTAAGGGAGGGGCTCGCGGAGAGGGGGGCCCTCTGAGAGGTGGTCCGGGGGTGGCCCTTGTGGCTTGGGAGGGGGCTCTGAGGCGGGGCTGGGGGGGGGGTTCTTTGGGGCTCCGGAGGGGTGTAGGGCTTGAGGCTTGGTGGGGGGCATGTGAGCAGACCCGGGGGGGGTGGGTTGGGGGCCCTAAGACCTGAGGGGGGGAGCTGGGGAGGGCGTTTGGGGGGGTCTGGGGGGAGCTGTGAGCGCTGAGGGGGCCGCGGAGCGGTTCTGGGAACTGCCCCCAAGCTGCAGGGGCTGTGGCAGGGCTGTAAACTGGGGGGGTGTGGGGCTGTGAGCACCAGCACCCCCTCACCCCCCTCCCAGCCCACCTCACCCCCCCACCGCTTGCAAAAAGTCAAATTTGACACCTGACAGGCCGGCAACCGAAGGCCGTGCGTTGCCTGTGGGCAGTGGGCAGGCTGTGGGCCTGGAGCACCCAGTGCCCTGCTTTCAGCCAGGACAGGCGTCACGTCCCCCCCAGCAGCTGTCAGGGTGCCGCGTTTTGGGCCTGGGGGTGCAGCAGGAGCTGGGGGGGGCCAGAGCCAGGACAGGCCAAGCAGACCCCACCTGGCCAAAGGGGTATTCCGTACCATCCGGTGGTGAGGGATTTGTTTTTGTCAAGGACAAGGTCTGCGTGACTGCTAATCACAACAGGTGGGGTTGTTTTCGTGCAGTTGTTTGGCTGAGTGCTTTTGCCTGATAATCCTGTGTGAGACGCTGTCTGCCCCCGTTAAGATCACTCGAAAAGTGAGGCTATTCGGGCACTAAAATGGAGCATGATCTGGCCGGACTGGTGTCTGTCGTGCTTGTGGCCGTGCTTCCTGTGACAATCTGGGGTCATGCTGAGCAATTCCAGGGGGGCTGGGCAGAGAATAGACCAACCCCCATCTCTCTACAGCCTCCTTTAAGGTACCTCTAGAGCAATAAGGTCACCCCTGAGCTTCCCATATCCAGGCTGCACAACCCCAGCTCCCCCAGCTGCTCCTCATAAGATTTGTTCTCCAGCCCCCTCACCGTGGGTCCCTTCCAACTCGGGATATTCTTGGATTCTGTGAAAGAAAGTCAAGCAACCGACAAACCGTGCTGTGTGCCCAGCAGGGGCACTCCTGCCTGGGGACTGCCCAGCACCGTGAACAAAACCCCAGCTTCACTGAGAGCCTCGCCTCAGCCCATTACTGGCTACGGAATGGCTCTCACGCAGGGAAAGCACGTGCAGAAACGCTTTATTTTATTGAAAAAGAAGAGAAGGTGAGGGGCGAAGGGGTGCACAGGGGGCCCTCACCCTGCGGCGCTCCGTCCCTGTGTGCTTCCAGTGCCGTCCCCGGCAGGACGCCAGGGTGGGGGCACCACAGGGGTCACCAGCCGGGGGGGCTTTCCCCCTCGGTCACCGCGGCACCCCCGGGACCCCCTCCCGCATCACAGCTCGGGGGCGTCGGGCTGGCCCTGGGGGAGTGGCAGCCGGAGCTCGGTGTCGTGGCGGACGACGGAGAAGAGGCCGACGACGGCGAGCAGCGCCAGCAGCATGAGGCCGCAGCAGGCGGAGAAGATGCTGCGGGTGCCGGGCCCGTGGTCGGCGCCGTGCAGAAGCAGCAGCCCCAGGCAGGCCAGCAGGTTGAGCGGGACACGGCACCAGTTCGTCACCCCCGGCCGGTCCTTCTCCGGGATCGCCTTTGTGAGAAACAAAGCCATGTTTTTTTGCAGTAGAGAATTCCTTATCTGTGCCCCAGGGGAGTTGTGGAGTTATAACATGGAGAAGCAGAGAAGCAGAAGCAGATAAGCAGACAGTGGAAGACCTCGCTGTTCCAAAATAAGGTGGAAGCTTGAGACAAACAGGATGAGCAGCATGGGAACAGTGAAACAAAGATCCTAAGTTCTCCAAACGTAGGAAAGGAGAAATGCAAGGGTTGAAAACAAGAAAAATGGTAGATGTATGGTATAGAGGAGTGTCAAGCAGCTTGTGAACCTGCGGTACTCAGCCACGAGGAAACAGGGGAGGTAATGGGGTATCGGGGAATAGGGAATAAAAGGTTAGGCTTTGTTAACTAAAATGCACTCCTAATTGGCAGGACAGCCACCGCTGCAAGCGCAAATAAAATAGCTGCACAGAAGAGCCTGTCTGAAGAAAATGATTTGAGATTTTTCTCGCACCTTGCGCCGCAGGAAGCCCATGGCAGGGAAGTAGAGCCCACAGGAGAGCTCGAGGAGCAGGAAGGCCACAAAGGACTCGGCTGGACTCTCCTGGCTGGGGTTGGTGGAGAAGGCGAGCATGAAGAGGGAGAAAAAGCCCACGAGGACGGAGAGCGAGAGCACGTGGACGGGCTGCAGGCGGTACCTCGGGGACACGGCCAGGCGGTACAGCGAGGCGCCCACCATGCTGGCCGCCATGAAGCTGGAGAAGACGATGCCCAGCGGTGGCCCGTGGGGGTCCAGCACGGGCGTCCAGAGGAAGACGAAGATGTAGATGACGCTCTCGAAGAGCGCCTGGACGGTGCCCAGCAGCAGCACACGCCGGTCCGCCACCAGGCGCCGCAGGCCATCTGCGCAGCTCTTGGCGAGCGCCCGCTTCTTGCCGTAGTTCTCGTCCCAGTCCTTCAAGGCCACGGCGCCCGCCAGCACCAGCAGCGGGATGGACGCCACGAAGGGCGCCACCGGGCCCAGCCCCAGCCACTCGGTGCGCAGCGTTGGCCACCACCCCGGCCCCCACGGCCAGCACGTGGTTCCAGAAGGCCGCCTGCGAGAAGGTGGCAGGCACCCACTCCGCCGGGAAATCGTGGTGCTCCACGTGCTCGTGGACGTACCAGGCCTCGAAGGCGCAGAAGAGCAGCGCCGTGGACAGCCCGCCCAGCACCCTGCCCGCCGCCAGCACCAGGTAGTCGCGGGACAGCTTGGTGAGGCAGCAGGCCGAGTAGGTCAGCGAGAAGAGCACGCACGACGCCCGGCGGCCCAGCGCGTCCACCAGCGAGGCGGCCACGGGCCCGAAGAGGACGCTGGAGGCGAAGCCGCAGACGTACAGCACGGCGATCTGCGTCTCCACGAAGCCGTAGTGCTGGTACAGCTTGTACAGGTACGGCCCCTGCAGCCAGTCGGCGGCCAGCGCGGGCAGGTAGCCGCGCAGGAAACCCCGCTGGAAGCGGGCAAAAGCCGGGTTGGCGCCGGGGGGGGCGGCAGCGGCGGGGGGGTGCGAGCGGCGGGCGGCCAGCTCCAGCCCCAGCGCCGCCGCCAGCAGCAGGGCGAGGGCGGTGTAGGCGGCGAGCAGCATGGCGCGCCCGGCCCCGCGGGCATCCCGGGGGTGGCTGCAGGGTGTGGGGGGAGAACAAAGTTGGGGGGGCAAAGTGGGTGATGGGGAACCCCCCTGGGATGGGCAGGGGGCTGGGGGGCCATAGGAGGAGGCCCCGGCCTGGGCACACGGTGCCCCCCCCCCACCCTCCGCACCCCTGGGTGGCTGCGGGACTGAGCCCCGCACCCCCTGCTGCCCCCCCCCGCCCTATGGACCCTCCCCCAAGCCCCCCTCCCTATGCACGCCCCTGCTGCCCCACCCCAAACACCAACCCGCTGCCCCCTCCACCCCAAAGGCCCCCCCCACACCGTTCACCCCCCCCATGCCCCTCCCCGGCCCCGCCTTCCCACCCCTGCACCCCCCGGCCCCCTCATACACAGCCTCCCATTGACCCCGCCCCACAGAGCCCCCCCAAGGCCCCCCAGGGCCCCCCCAGAGCCCTTAACCCCCCCACCCCCCCGCAACCCTCCTAAAGTACCCCAGGGCCCCCCCCCAAAACCACCAGAGCCCCCCCCCGCCCCCCTTCACCCGCCCCTCTGCGGGGGGGGGGAGCGGCCGCGCACCCGGCGCCTCTCACGCACCCGCTACCGCTTGGCGCCGGCCGCCTCCGTGGGAGCCGCCATCTTGGCGTGCGTCACATGACCAGGGCCCCGATCCCGCCCCGCCCGCAGTGGGTGATGCTGGGTGGCCGTGCGCATGCGCGGCTCAAGGAAGGGGGCGAGCCGCTCGCCGCGCGCGCCACGTGGCCGCCAGGTCACGTGGCATGAGATCACGTGGCAGCGCTCAGGGACTGTCGGAGGCGCTCGGCTCCGTTCGGCTCCACTCGGGGTCGCTCGGCACCGCCCGCCCCTCCTGGGCCTGGTGTAACTGCCCCCTCCTGGTGTAACTGCCCCCCCTCCTGGTGTAACTGCCCCTCCTGGTGTAACTGCCCCCCCCTGGTGTAACTGCCCCTCCTGGTGTAACTGCCCCTCCTGGTGTAACTGCCCCCCCTCCTGGTGTAACTGCCCCCTCCTGGTGTAACTGCCCCCTCCTGGTGTAACTGCCCCGACCTGGTGTAACTGCCCCCCCTCCTGGTGTAACTGCCCCCTCCTGGTGTAACTGCCCCCCTCCTGGTGTAACTGCCCCTCCTGGTGTAACTGCCCCGACCTGGTGTAACTGCCCCCCCTCCTGGTGTAACTGCCCCCCCCTGGTGTAACTGCCCCCCCTGGTGTAACTGCCCCCCCTCCTGGTGTAACTGCCCCCTCCTGGTGTAACTGCCCCCCCTCCTGGTGTAACTGCCCCTCCTGGTGTAACTGCCCCCCCCTCCGGGTGTAACTGCCCCCCTCCTGGTGTAACTGCCCCTCCTGGTGTAACTGCCCCGACCTGGTGTAACTGCCCCCACCTGGTGTAACTGCCCCCCCTCCTGGTGTAACTGCCCCTCCTGGTGTAACTGCCCCCCTGGTGTAACTGCCCCCCTCCTGGTGTAACTGCCCCCTCCTGGTGTAACTGCCCCCTGCCCCTCCTGGTGTAACTGCCCCCCTCCTGGTGTAACTGCCCCCCTCTGGTGTAACTGCCCCCTCCTGGTGTAACTGCCCCCCCTCCTGTGGTGTAACTGCCCCCCTCTCTGGTGTAACTGCCCCCCCTCCTGGTGTAACTGCCCCCCTGGTGTAACTGCCCCGACCTGGTGTAACTGCCCCCCTCCTGGTGTAACTGCCCCCCTCCTGGTGTAACTGCCCCCCCTCCTGGTGTAACTACCCCCAACCTGGTGTAACTGCCCCCCCTCCTGGTGTAACTGCCCCCCCTCCTGGTGTAACTACCCCCAACCTGGTGTAACTGCCCCTCCTGGTGTAACTGCCCCCCTCCTCCTGGTGTAACTGCCCCCTCCTGGTGTAACTGCCCCCCCTCCTGGTGTAACTACCCCCCAACCTGGTGTAACTGCCCTCCTCCTGGTGTAACTGCCCCCCCCCGGGGGCAAACACCTTGCACAGTTGTCCCAGCCCCCACACAATTGCCCCATGCCCTGTGCAGTCGCCCCCAGCTCTCCTCACCCCCCAACCCCGTGCAAACGCCCCCCCCCTGCACGCCCTCCACCCCCCCGCCCTGCCTGTGCCTCAGTTTCCCCCGCACTCACCGGGGTCCCGGGGGGGGTCCCCGCGCCCCCCTCACTTGATGCTGAGCCGCGGGCGGCAGGGCGGGGGGGGGCACCCGAGGGGGCAGCGGGGGCAGGCTGCGGGGAGGGGGCAGCAGGGAGGAGGGCGGCAGGGGGGGGGGCAACAAGGGGGGCGGCAGCAGGGGGGGTGGCACCAGGGGGGGTGACAAGGGAGGCAGCAAGGCGTTGGGCAGCCCGGGGGGGGGCAGCAGGGGGGGTGGCAGCAGAGGGGGGGGCAGCAGCAGAGGGGGGGGCAGCAGGGGGGTGGCAGCAGAGGGGGGGGCAGCAGGGGGGGGGGCAACAGGGGGCGACAGGACACGGGGGGGGCAGCAGGGGGGGTGACAAGGGGGGTGGCAGGGGGCTGAGCAGGGGGGGCAGCAGGGGGGGGCGCACTGGGGGGGACAGGGGGGGCTGCGGAGCCGCTGGCCGCGCCACGCCAGCCCCATGGCGCTGCCCCCCCCTGCCGGTGGGGTATTTATAGCCTAAAGCCGGCTCAGCCGGGGGGGGGGGGGGGGGGGCAAGGGGGGGGTTCACGTGGGCGCTCCCACGCGTGCACGGGGCCGGGGGAGGCAGCGGCACCCCCCCAGCCCCGTCACGGGGGATGGGGGGGACATCGGGGTGGGGGGACACGGGGCATGGGGGGGGCACGGGGACCTGGGACCGGGACACTCGCCCACGCCCGACCCCCCCCGGGCACGCGGCTGCCGCTGTTGCACACGCGTGTGCAAGGCGCGTGGCTGACGCCCCTCCTCCCCCTCCTCGCGGGGCCTCGGGTAGGGGGGGGGATGGGGGGATGGGGGGGACCCCCCCGAAGGGAGGGGGGGGGCGATGTGGTCATGGAAACAATTTGGGTTGGAGCCGCCCGAGCTCAATGGGGGCTTTGTTCGTGCTGCGGCGCCAGGGCCCCCGGGCGGGAGGTGCCGCCGGCCCCCCCCCAGCTCTGCGGGTGCCACGCCTCGGCGGGCCCCCGGGGGGGGCGTGTAAAGGCGTGCAACGCCGTGTAAAGCCGTGCAAAGGCACGCGATGCCGCGCGAGCCGTGCAAAGCTGTGCAAAACCGCTCACAACGCCGTGCGGAGCCGTGCGTGGCCGTGCAACGTGGTGCAATGCCACGTGAAGCCCTGCAGCGCTTTGCAACGCGGCGTGAAATGCCATGCAAAGCCCCGCCGTGCCGTGCAAAGCGGAGCAAAGCCGTGCAAAAGCTGTGCAAAGCCACAGCTGCCCGTGCAGCACCAGGCCCCGTGGGGCCGTGCTGAGCTGAGCCGTGCAGCACCGGGGGGGGGGGCTCCGTGGGGGGCAGCCCCCAAGCAGATCGCGGCTGCACTGCCCCTGGGTACCCGGGGGGGTGAGGAGGGTGAGGGGGGGCTGCTGGTGCCGGGGTCACACCTGGTGTGTGTGCAACGTGCAGAGAGCACACACACTGCAAGGCACGGCAGGGGTGTGCACACGCTTGTGCGTGATCACATGCGTGTGCATTGCTCTGTGTGTGTGGTCCTGCACAGCTGCACGCTCACGCATGGTGATGCACATGTGCAGCATCGTGCATTGTGTGGCCTTGCATGTGGGCATGCTTGCACACTCGTGCGTGCCCACACAGGCTCCTGCGGGCTCACAGACGTGCACCCTCACTTCTGCACTACCACCAGAGTGCAAAGCCTTGCACACATCCATGCCCCTACACTTGTGCACCATCCTCACACACATGTGGCCTTGCACACCCATGCACACTCACGGACCTGTGCATGGTCTGGCATGTGCATGAGCTTGCACACTCTCGCGCACACCCCCCCAGCCCCACAAGGCCTCGTGCGAGGTCCTGTGCCCCCCGACGTCCCCTGGCCATGGGCGTAGGGCCCGGTGCACGCGCAGGCCGGCGTGACAGCCCGTGCCCCAGCGTGCCCCGTGTCCCGTGGTGCCCTGGGAGCGCCCGGGGCCCTTGGCGTGCCGCCTGTGTCCCGTCGTGCCCTGGGAGTGCCGCGGGCGTTGGCGTCACTCCCAGCTTCCCAGCGTGCTCCAGGGCGGGGCAGCGTGAGCAGGGAGGCCTCGCACGCGCGTGTGCAAGGGGCCTGCTGCAGCTCCACCCCCCCCCCCGACCTGACTGTAGCCGGTGTGCAAAGCCTCACATGTGCACAGGGCTGTGGCTCTCAGCGTGTGCTGCTCTCCACCACCTTGCACACGTGTCCCTGTGCAAACTTTGCACCAACCCCCTGGGCAGCCCTTGCACCAACACTTTGTGCAACCCTTGCGCCAAAGCATCCCCATGCAACACTTCCACAGCTCCCCCCAATCCCTCCCCGTGCAGCTCTTGCACTAGCTCACGCCTGTGCAGTCCTTGCACGGAACCCCCCCGTGCAATCCTTGCACCAAGCCCTCGTGAAACCTGTGCAACACCTTTGGCACACGCCCCTTGCACTAACTCACGCCCGTGTTGCACTTCTGCAGAAACACCTTCCTCGTGCAAGCCTTGCACGCCCCTGGGCCCCCTTGCACGGAGCCCTGCCGTCCGCTGCCTCCAGGGTGGCCCTGTGCAAAGGCGTGCAAAGTGCAGGAGCGTGCAAGGGCCGTGCACGGGGAGGGGGCGTGTCCCAGTGCCCCTTATCCATGGGTAGGGTTAACCGGGGCCCCTGCCCGGGCCTTTAATTGGGGCCTTTAACTGGGGACTCGGGGGGGGGGCACTGCAGGACCCGTGTCCCACCCCACGTCCCCGTGCCCCCATCCCCGTGCCACACACCGTGTCCCCCCCCCCCCCCGGCCCCCTGCCCCCTTGTCCCGTGTCCCCCTGTCCCCGGCTCCCCCTGACCCCCCGCCCCATCCCTGCCCCCCCCTTTACCCCGGCCCCCCCCGGCCCCTCCCCATCGCCACCGCCCCCCCGCCCGTCCCGTCCCATCCCCGTGCCCCCCCCGTGCCCCCCCCCCGTCCCCCGCTCCCCCCGCCCGTCCCGTCCCGGATTCCCCGTGTCCCCCCCCCTCCCCCCCGTCCCGGTGCCCCCGCCCCGCCCCGCCCCCCCCCGGGCGGTCTCTCCGCGGCTCCGCCGTGGCGGGGCCGGGGCCGAGCGGGGCCGCGCCCGGTGCCGGTGCCCGGGGCCCGGTGGCGGCGGGGCCGGGGCCGCTCGGCGGTGCCCGGTGCCCGGTGCCCGTTGGCGCTGTCCCGGTCCCGGTCCGGCCCCGGCCCCGATGCTGGGCTGCCTGGGGGCGCTGCCGGCCCCGCGCCGGCTCCACGACGTCACCAACCGGCGGGGAGCGCTGCCGGGGGGGCGCCTCGGTGAGCGGGGGGGGCCGGGGGGGGGCGGCGGGACGGGGAGGGGGGGCAGGGGAGCGGGGGGGGTGGGGGGCAGTGGGGGGGGAGTGGAGTGGGGGGCTGACGGGGGACGAGGGGGAGTCGGGGGCTGTGAGTGGGAAGTGCGAGGGGGGTGAGGGGGGGTGAGGGTGCGTGTGACAGTGGGACTGGGAGTGGGGGGGGTGAGGCTGGGCGTGGAGGGGGGGTAAGGGTGGGGGAGGGCGTGAGCGGGTGGGGGGGAGCAGGAGTGAGCGCACGGGGTGAGGGGGGTGAGCAGGGGGGGGGAGCGGGGGGGGAGTGGGGGGGACAGGGTAAGGATGGGGGGGAGTGGGGGTGACGGGGGGGGGAGCGTGAAAATGACAGCGAGGGTGGGGGGGGAGTGAGGGAGTGAGGTGAGCGAGGGGGTGAGGGTGAAGGATGGGGGTGAGTGTGTAAGGATGGGGGTGAGTGTGTAAGGTGGGGTGAGTGACTGAGCGGGGCTGTGGGGGTGTGAGGGGGGGGTGAACAAGTGTGTGTGGGTACGAGCCCGTGAGTGAGGGCGAGTGTGAGCTGTGAGCGTGAGTGGGAGTGCGAGAGGGTGTGCAGGTGGGCGGCTACACGTGAGTGAGGCCATAGGTGTGCAACAGGGCGAGGGTGTGCGGTGGTGCGAGTGTGCAACGCCGTGAGTGTGATGGTGCACGAATGTGTGATGGTGAGCGACGGTGTGAGTGTGCAACGGTGCACGAGTGCGTGTGGCTGAGCCGTGCTGGCTGCGGGTGCGTGTGCGTGTGCGTGTGCGTGCCGGGCGTGTGGGCGTCAGTGAGCGTGCCAGCGGTGCCCGTGAGACGCAGCCGGGGTGTGTGGGTGTGACAGCACCACGTGGGGGGCGGGCTGCGTGCCTGGGGGGGGGTGAGTGTGCAAGTGGGGGGTCAAGTGTGCAAGCACAGGGGGTGAGCGTGCAAACGCCGTGGGGCACTGGGTGAGCTCGGGGGGGGGAGTGCACATCTGTGGGCGTGCAATGGGGGCAGCACGTGTGCAAGGTGGGTGAGCAAATCCGTGCGGGGGTGTTCACAGCCCCGAGGGGGGCACCCCCCCCTCCCGTGTGCCCCCCCCCCATGTCCAGGGGTGCCCAGACTGGGGGGGGGGGGGTGAGATTTGTGCCTGGCTGGTTTTGGGGGGGGTCACGGAGCCCCCGGCTTGGGGGGTAACGGGGGGGGCTGGGGGAGCTGGGGAGATTTTGCGGGGGGGGGGTCCCATTGCTGCCCTCCCCCAGAAAAAAAAATCCCAGCCCCACTCATGCTGGGGAACACGGCGCTGTTTTGTGTTGTTGTTTGTTTTTTTTTTTTTTGGTGGGAGGGGGGCTCGGGGCTGGGCCCCCCCCCGCTCCATGGGCAGGGCCCCCCCCCCCGCCCAACTGGTTCCAGTCCCGCACTGGAAGCCGCCCAGTGCTGGCCGTCCGCCGGCTCCATGTGGCACTTAACCCCTGCGGGGCCGCCCCAAAACGTGCTGCCCCCCCGGACACCCCCCCAGAGGTGTGGGGGTGGGGGTCCGCCCGTTTCCCCCCCCCCCCCCCGTTTTAATATTCGCTCCCACCCAAATCACCAACTGGCTCTGTGCTCCATGTGCTGGGGGGGATCCTGCTTAATCCCGGCCCCCCCCCCCCCCAAAAAAAAAATAGCACAACGGGGCGTGCCCCCCCCGGGGGGGGCAGGTTTCGGTGTGTGAGCGCCTGCCTTGTCCCCCCCCCTCCGAAAAAAAAAAATAATCACAGCATCCACAAAAAGGGGAAAAAATGCTGCTGCCTTCGGGGGGGGGGGAAACTGAGGCAGGGTGGAGGAGATGGGGGGGCCGGGGGGCACCCAGATATTTCGGGAGGTGCGGGGGGGGGCCTTTGGGGTGCCCCCCTCACCCGATTCCCCCCCCGGCCGTGCGGCGCCCTGCGCGGGGGCGGCGCTGGGTGTGGTGCGTGCCTGTGGTTGTGGCGGGGGGGGGGCAGGGGGGGGCCAGCGGCTGGGGATCGGCAAACAACCCCCCCCCTAAAAAAAACACCCCCGTAAAACCTCTCTAAAGAGCCCCCTCCCCAAAAAAAACACACCCCCCCAAAAATAAAAAAAACAAAAAGTCCACCCCCAACTCCCCCCAACCCCCCACAAAGACCCCCCAACCAAAAAAAAACAACCTCCCCCCCGAAAAAAACACCCCCCCAATGCCCCATCACCCCCCCCCCACCCCCCTTCTCGCCCCCCCCCGCACCCAGCTGGGAGCGTTTTGGGGCCCGCTGGCCCCGGGCAGGAATTTCCTCAATTTCAGCAATTTCGCCTTTTTATATTTTTTTTTTCCCTTAAAAAAAACCCCCGGCCCCCCCGCTGCCCCCCCCTGCTTGCGCACAAGGGGCCGCGCCCAGACGCAAGCGGGAAAAAAAACTGACCCCCCCCTAAAAAAAAAAACAAGTGCCCCCCCGGGTGCAGGGGGATTGGGGGGGGGCACAGGGACAGGGGTGACATGGGGGGGGTACACTGGGACACCCCCCCCGCGTTCTTTCCACAAGGGGGGGTGGCACTGCCTGGGGATCCCCCTGTCCCCCCCCCATCTGTCCCCTCCCTCTTTACCCCTCGCCCCCCTCCATCTCCCACTGTGTGTGGGGGGGGGGCACGCCCCCCCTCTAGGGCCTGTGCCCCCCCAAAGTGCTGCCCACCCCCCGGCTTGTTCCTCAGTTTCCCTTTGAAGCAAGCAGGACACTGGGGGGGGGGGGGGGGGGGGGGGGCAAAAATCCCACCCGCAGGGGGGCTGTGTGAGTGTGTGTGTGTGGGGGGGGGGGGCTCAGCCAGCACCATGCTGACCCCCCCCCGTGTCCCCGTGTCCCCCCAAAAGGCTTGGAGGCGCCGCGCAGCCCCCCCCCGGAGATGGTGCCCGGCTCCCCCCCCTCGCCGCCGCCGCCCCCGCCCCGCGTCTACAAGCCCTGCTTCGTGCTGCAGCGACATCCTCGGGGTACCACTACGGCGTCAGCTCCTGCGAGGGCTGCAAGGTGAGGGGGGGGCACACCCCCCGCACGGACACCCCCCCCCCCCCCAGGCTCCTGACCCCCCCGCAGGGCTTTTTTCCGCCGCAGCATCCAGAAGAACATGGTGTACACGTGCCACCGCGACGGCCGCTGCCACATCAACAAGGCCACGCGCAACCGCTGCCAGTCCTGCCGCCTGCAGAAGTGCTTCGACGTCGGCATGTCCAAGGAGGGTGCGTGGGGCGGGGGGGCACCTAAATCAGAACCCCCCCCCCAAAAAAGCTGGGACACCCCCGCTCCGCACCCCCCCCCCTGTGCTTCCTCCCCCGCGCTCTGCCATCCCCAGGGTGGGGTCGGGGGGGTTGGTTCTTTATTTATTTATTTTTTATTTATTGGGGGGGGGGTAGGA